AGGATTCCAACATAGACTTTGTTTTTTTTTTTTTTTTTTTCTGTAATTTCTCATACGCGGGCTTACTGCGCAGCACAAGTTGCTGTCAGCTGCAGGAGTCCGCCTTCCACGATGATGCCTCTGAGGAAACTCTCGTGCAAGCGCTGCCAGCAACGCAGCTGAGTGTTTCGGGTAGGCAGCGGACGGCGGACAGTTCGCTGCAGCTGAGTATTTCAGGAAGGCAGGTGACTCAGCTTAAAGTGGACAGTTTGCTGCAGGACGTTGCAGTATCAATAAGTTGTAAATTGAAAATGCACATACTCCTGGTGAGCATTATTGTGTGGAAGCCCTGCAGCAACCCATGGAGCCACCTAGCATCCGTGTTTGTGCCTGGCTTAGCCTTTAGCATCACGGACTCACAAGTTTTAACGAAGTAATCTTCTTTAGAGTATGACAGTTCAGAATAATGCGTTGTGGATTTATGCGCGGTTGAGTTGGAGAATGCCTTGTAATATTCGTTCGTTAATGACATACCCGGTGTCAGTCCAGAAAGGCCCATGGGAACATGCAAAGGTGTAAGTCTCTGAATCAGCCACAGTCAAACTGAGCGCATGTCACATGTGCTGGGCTCCAGGACATTCATGTGGAGGATCGTGACCAGCAGCAAGCGCAGAATGGACGTAATCTTCGAACGATGACTAGCGATACCATGCAGTTCAGCTCCAGTTAAGTGCCGACTTTCCTTTGGGAATGGGGAATGGGGTCCTTAGCCAGGAGTTTGACTGAAGCGCTTGAACGCCGAGGTGGTTGAGAAGTGTGAGGTGTCACTGTAGCTTTTGGCTGCTAAATATAGGCTAGCCCAGCAAACATGTTGACTCTGGGCGTAGCACCTGTCAACTCCGGAACGGAACGCCCACACAAACGAAGCATCCAGGAAGACTTCATGGGTCAGGTTTCCGATTTGGCATTCAGGGTAAGCGGGCTTGGTGGCGTTGAGGATCCATGGTACTTGGGTCCTTTGAGGATGGAAGTGCCCCCCAAACCCTTATTCTATCTGCTCAGACCCTCACCTGAGGAGCATCATTGGGTAGGCTGTTTGGATCTCTTCAACCATGGACTTGAATTGGGTTTCAGATGAGATGCGAGTCTATGCTTCATTGCTGCAGCAATACAAAGTTCGGATGCACTCGCCATCGAGCTGCTACGGCGCCTCCATTGTCTGCCTTTAAGCTGTGGAATGGCTATATATAAGGAAGCCAGAAAGGCAGATTGCATTTCGACGCCGTCGAGACATACAAACCCTCAAAACATACTATACACATCCCTATACACTCTATATAGTTCCGAACCCATCCCAAACGAGAAAACTTTGAGATCTGCTTTCCAAAGCCTGGCCATCATCACAGCCCAAATGATCGGATAACGTTGAATCTTACAAGCTGTATACTATGGCCTATGCATGGAAGCTCAGCAAGCCACGTATGTGATCCCTGCATACAGAAGCTGTACAGTCCCTGTTGAAAGCAGTCCTTCTGTAGACACCGTCGCTGCGAATCCATGGTGGCATTCGGATACCCTTGAGGAACGACAGTGCTCACAATGCTCACATGTAGCCCGTGTACAAACCTTGAGGCACAGCAACCTGTCGACAAGCCCTGCCACGTCCAGCGCTGTAAGCGGGGGTACCCTGAAGTTGCAGAGCCTTGGGAAGCCATAGGGGGTACTTAGAGGTTTGAATGCTGGAATGGGGATTTGAGGGATTGTGCGGCTTTAGAGGGAGTCTCGCAGCGCCTGCTCGGGTTCTAAATGGGGCCACTACATACCCCAAATACGAAACTCTTTGTCGAAATGTTTTTGTGATGCAGCGCTGGACTCCTTCAGGTTTAGGTGGGCTTGTACCGTGAGGTGAAAAGGGAATGCCCAGAACAATGCAGACATCCAGGGTGAAGGAAGGAGTTCATCAGTCAATACAAGTTCAGGTGGGGCTCCCATCCACTCAAGGGATGCAGATGATGGTTTTTCTGGAAACAAGACTTTTACAAGTGTTGCGGCAAGGCAAGGCAAACTCTTTCCCAAGAAAATCCTCCTGGGGCTCTGGATGCTCCACGCAAAAACCAGATCCCTGACCTCTTCAAGTTTATGCGAACTGCCTGTCCACACTGCAAGGAAGATGCTGAGCAGGAAGTTCCTGGAGGTTGGAGGGAACAAAGCCAGGAACCTGATTCCTAACGACCTAAGCCCTGAGTCGTCTTCAGCCCACCGCTCTGAATCTTGCTCCTGACTGTTGACTCATGCGAGTCCAAAGCCCTTTGCCCTGTAAGCCCCAAAGCGCTCAAGCCCATGCCCTAATCACATTACCAAGCCCCGATAAATGGAGGCTTGTCAACGGGCAAGTGGCCTTTTGTTGCAGCACACTGGTTCCTACCTCAAAAACCCATCAGAACCCCCAAGATGCGACCCTTCGTGCCCAACATCTGCAGGAGCCCTATACTGCACCACTGTCTTGCATTAGTCCAAATCCAATGCAACCTCAGGTGGAAGTGCAGCTGCTTCGGGCCATCTCACTCCGAAAGTCGCTACGTTTGGCCGCCCAGGCCCGGGGCTTCAATCTATGGGTCTGGGCTTTTGTCCTCCTCGTAGCAAGGCGCTGACCGCACTGATGCTGCAAAAGTTTCCCGATGTTCCGGTGATTTCCAGGGATCATCAAAGAACCCCTGGCAGGTCTGGTTCCGGTCAGCACCGCGCCCCAGGCTTTGGCAGAAAGCCGAGCCTGTGGAGGAATTCGATGTGTTTCTGCCCCTGAGCAGTACAACCTCAAAGTATATAGGGTCTTGTGCTACAGGATGCATGTTCAGTCCCTAGAAGTATAGCATCTGACCTGGGCAAGTGTGCGCCTCTCTTGTGTTTCATTGCGATTCCCAACATGTATCAATAATTGTGTGGGATGTATATCCAGGCCAAAACATACTCCTGCAACCAATGTCGCCTCCTCCCTTGGAAGCTTTTGCTAATGACTAAGAATCATTGCCTTCAGTTCAAAGTTCAGGGATTGGGGGTAGGGTAGGGTCTGAGTTGATGTAGCCGAAGGTGTTGGAGTCAGTCGGTCTCGGGCTTTGTCCATGGACTCCAAAACTGTCTTTCAGCCAGATGGGCCTCAAATGGGACGCCCTTGGAAACATTCTGGTCGGGTTCAGTGGTGGGTTCAATCTGTTTCCGGAAGTTAGACGTACGCCCAGCCCCCCTGCATGAATCTATGAAGCAGGCGAGGCTCTGGGGCTTGCAGGACTGCAACTCAGGTTAACGCCTCCAACATGAGATTCAAGTTTACAAACGGAGGGGAGGGCACTCAAAGGGTCCTTGCACCAGTTTAGACACAGTTCCCTGCAACGTGTTTCCAAGCCCGAGGTCCCACACATGGCTGACTTTTGGCCTGTGGAAGATCCTTTCTCTTTCCCTTCGGTCCGCTTTGAGCTTCATCTTCTGCTGCTGGCTGCTGGCGGTAAGCTTGGCCATCGCGCTTTGCATGTCCCTGGTCCTTATTTAACAAGACTCTCAGCCATCACTGTCTGACAGATACAACTCGGATGCACATCGTAGTCTTGTAGTAGTAGTTCCACTATGAGCTGTTGCATTTGCAGCGCTTGTTGTTTTTGAAGCTTGTGGACCAGCTCTTCATCGTAGCCAGCCTGCTTGCCCCTTGAGGTTGGACGTCCTCCCAATGCCAAGCATTCGGGTTGCTGACGGTCCCGGCTGCCCGGCTGATAGGACAATTTGGCACAACTCTTGGGGCGAACATATGCAAGAAATGCGCAGTCATGAATGTTGCCTAACTCGAGTTTTAACAAACAGAATGGTTGCTACTGAACATGTGAAGCAGCATAGCATGGCGAGCTTCTGCTATCCAACTCATTTCAAGCTAATTTCACCAATGTTATGTTGTTTTTGCTTGTGATGTCGAGAACTCTTAAGTCTGGATGAGAGAGAAGAACAAGCGCTGAGTCAGAGATTGCTTAGCACGTAGGAAAGAGACTGGACACGTCTTCAGATTCTGTATGCAACTGCGGACGAGGAAGCCTTTCAAAGCTGTAGCGGCACATAGGTGATACAACCTAGTACCATTGCTGTGCTAACTACATTTTTATACAAGGTGGAGCTGGACCAATACTGAAGGCTAAGTCACCCAGGCTCTCCAGCCTAGACGCCATTAATGTCTGTATCACCAGACTGAAGCTCATCCCTCAAGCTGTGAGAATTCAGATCATTGGTCTAGACAACCTTGGGACACCACGTAAAGGTTTTGATGATGATGAATATGGCCCCTACTCTCTTCTTGTTTTACCCTTGTCTTGCATTGAAGAACACGCGTGGTAGCTTTTGGTGTTATTTCAGCGCAAGGGCAAGCGTGACTTGAAGGGGCATCACTGCCTACTGGCCTTGCAATCCAAAGAGTGCTGGCTTGGCTGAGGCGGTTATGAGGCTGAGTGCGCCACTGGACCTTGGGTGCTTTTGGCCGGGTTCATGGGATGCTTGGCCAACATGCGGTTGCGTGGATCTGTTTTCCCCGTTGCACATCGTGCAGACATAAAATTCCGAGGGTTGTAAAAGAAAACCCTAAACCCTAAATAGTAGTTTCCGTCTTATTTCCGTTGTCCCAATATAACCCCAATATACTCCTAATATAGCCCTAATATAACCCTAAACTTGCGCTTTTGCTGACGAGGGGGTGATTTGAGGCACATTGTTAGTGTAGATGGTAGGGATTTGGATATTTCGATGGTTTACAGGAGCTCTACAATACTATAGTCCTTATTATAGGGACCCCAAAAAGGTACCCCTAATTTTGGGAAACTCCCATTTAGGCCACAAGGCTTCTGCCTTCTATGCATGGGGTTGTCTAGGGTGAGGCTTCCAGATGAGGTTTGTTGGGCTTGGAGACATGCGATTGGTTGCGCAAGAGTGAACTGACAGCCCCAAAACACAAGATCTTCAGCCTGACCACGAGCCTTCAATCCGATTGCGTTGCGGACCCAGATTTTGAACCCTACTTCCCTAACCTCCTGCTTTGCTCTTGTCGTTGCCTTGGGGGTCGCAGCAGGCAATTCCATTGAGGTGTTGGTCCTTGCTTCGACTATGGGGTGGGGGCTTTCTCAGGGGGAGCGCCCAAATAGTGATCCTGGGCATACCAGGTTGCAAGTCTCCCATGAAGTTTTGCATGGATGAAATTATTAGTACTATTACTTTTAATGCTGCTATTACGGTGCTGCTATTACGGTTATTATTGTTATTACGATTATTACGATGTTTACTCTTACTAACCCTAAAACCTAAACAGTCGTTTCCATTTTCTTTACCGTTATCCCTGTATAACCCCAAAGTAATTGTAGGTTCCATTCTCTTTTCCATTATCCATTACTATTATCACAGTTATTACTAACCCTTAACCCTAAATGTTTTTACTGTTACGCATGTTATTAGTATTATAGTACTGTCCCAAAACCCGAAACCCTACATGCTATTTCTGCACGTATTATTATTCCTATTATATTACTATTATATTTCTATTACTACTATCATTACTGTTATCCATTGCCCTTTTTCTGCTCTTCGCCGAGGATGCTTCCTGGGCTTGCTGTTCTCGCCCTTCGCTTGCGGCAAGCGGGAGATGTGCTTCATTGATCCTTGGGCAATAATGGGGGTACCCAATATATAGGGGTTATATAGGGGGTATATTAGGTTTAGGGTTGGAGGGTTTCCCAAAACTAGGGGTAGCATCTTGGGGGTTCCCGTTCTAGTATTTTGGGTCCTCCTATTTAGAGAAACTACCGATGTAGGCGTTTGGGCATCATGGAGGATACGAAGGTTGCTGTGAGGGCTGAAGCTTGAGAACCTCAGAATCAGGGACCCGAAAGTATGTAGCGACCGGTTAGGTGATATTCTGTGCCTATCCTTGGCTTCTGCGAACGCATATAGGGATCAAAAGCCGGTCATTTGACTGTGACTGGTGCGTTATTTGAAGCATACAGTAGGGGTGATGCTGCCAGTGAAGCTCGGCGTAAATGCTCTATTGATGATCGAACCTGAAGTCAGGGCTTGCGCTTCCTGAAGCTCGAGTTTTGGATATGAGCAGGCACGAAAGGAATTGTTGGCATATATCTAGCTATCTGCTGCACCTGACTGCAACCCAAGACTTCAGCAAGGACAAGTGCAGCATCCACCAAGAAGATCACGAGTTGAAGGAGCTGAGGGCGTGAGGGCAGGGAGTTGGAGATTAAGAGCAGGTTAAGAGCTTCAGCTTCTTAAGGGTCTGAGATCTAAAGGGCAGATACTTTAGGGAGCCGGAAACATTGCTGGCTACTTGGTTTGAATCGCTGCGGTGTCCAGAGTGGAGGGATGTTGCGAGATGAAGGAGCGCGGGATCTACGGCATTGGAGGCTTCCTGCAGCGCCACTGGACGTGCACAGGAACTAAGGGTTTGCAGCTATAATACAGTATGCTATAGTATGCAGGAAGTGTAAGTAGGGTATAAGGCTTCTAGATGTTTCTTCCGCAACGTGTTTACGGCATCCTTCTATCAAACCCAGAAGCAAGAACCAACATTATCTGCCTTGATCGCATCCCAACCAACCCGAGGCTCTCGGGAGCTGAGAGTCCTCTGGAGTTCGCCCTACCTGTCGAGGTGGGATGAACGCTTGCAACTAGCACATCCTTAAAAAGGGTGCTAGATAATAGCTATTCTCCCTCAACCCCTAGGTCAAATTGACATTTAGATCTCAAATATAACTGGGAGAACTTGGATCTCCCATTTGGGCATCTCGTCCATCCAGGGATCCATGTTGTGAGATCCATTTGGTGGAGTTCTAGTGGGAACTGTCAATATGCAATCGTCGTGCCCATTATTACCATCCTCTGAAGCCCTGTTTATCAAGAGGACCCTCATTTCGAGACGAAGTCCGTGTGGAAGAAGACTTCAAGGTGTAATTAGAGCCAGCCTTGTGTAGACTTCGTATGATCGTCATTTGAAACTGTCATCCCAATCCCTAAGGGTCCAAGGACCCAAATAATAGGGTTTTAGGGCCCAAATACCATTACTATTAATGGTATTTGGGCCCTAAAGCCCTATTATTTGGGTCCTTTGGACCCTTAGGGAATGTTTCCGTCTGAAATGTCAGCCACGGAACATGTGACGTTGTGAAGGCACTTGTAGCAAACGCCTACGGTACGGATGGGAGCTTCATGAACATGACAGGCAGACCAAGTCTTAAGTTGTGACGCAGCATGCCATGGCATAACATACTTTGGCATCCATTCTGATGCTTATAAGCCCTAATCCCTAGATGTTTCACAGGTTTTTACCATCCAAAACCCTGTGCACAAAGCTTAGACCTGAAAACTTCACTGTCCAGCCTGCATTCGCAGGCTCTGGTGTGTTTTCGAGCTAGCAGCATACCGCAAGGCGAATCCGACCGGCAAGATTACGTTTGTTCCGCTGTACTCCGGGTGGACTTAAGCAAGTTCTTGCTTCTAGGGCCTAGGGTTGCTGGGAAAGAGAAATTCCTGCTTTCCAGCAAAGATCTCAGCTTTTGCAAGGTACATAGAGTCGGTGACCTGCGCTTACCTCTTCTTCGGGTACATACTGGCCTTTGTCTTTCACACCATCTCTGCCCTACTGGAGCGGCGGCCGAGTGTGGTTGAGGCGCTGGCTGCGTTTGCCCCTGGCATTGCTCTCTTTCATGCTCTCCGCAAGCTCAGCATGGCTAGGGTGAAGTTATTCTCGGACATGGAGCACTTCGACATGGACGATGTCAAATGCTCGGAAGAGTTTGATCGGGAGTTTGTGCTCACTGCCATCAACGACTGGTACGGCAGCAGTGAGGCTTTCGTGGCATACGTGCGAGGCCCGCTGCGTACGGAAATGTCCAAGATGGTCTTGAAAGCCAGCACGCACCTGGCGTTTTCAACGAGAACGGTTTTGATTTTTGAATTGCCCATCCCCGAAGCCTGTGTGTTCACAACCCTACCTGATGGGCGAGAGTATTGGACTGAGGATCAGCTTGATGTGTGTAGCTAGAATCGGATGGTGGTGTATGGATTTTGATAGCCTTGTTTTGATTGGGGAAGTAAACGTTTCAGTCGCAGGGCGGCTTCGATTTAAGATGACTTTTAAATGTTAACCTTGCACAGGACTCTTCCAACATGGCCATATTTGGTGAACGGTTTTGAAAAGCATTCAAGCCATCCCAGGCCGTGGAGCTATTGCTTGCTGATAACGACTTCAAGTGTCTGCCAGGCCATGACAGCCTTGCTGTCACTTTGGAAGTGTGGTACACCGGCGGATGTTTGTCTGAGCTACATGCTAGCGCACGTGGTGGCTCAAGGCCTCGTCTATTACATGCTGACCATGAAGCTGACTTTGCATCCTGGGCAGTATAGCAACTTTTTCTACCTTGTCAAGATTGCACGTTCAAAAAGATCCTTGTAGAAATACTCCAGGCATCTTTGCGACCGGTTTGCGGCCCCCTGGCGGGCTGGGCTTTGCAATGTCATGCAGAGCTGCCTGATTTTCATCTGCTGGCTTGTGGCATTCACTGCTGGGGATGTGGTTGCGAGGATTGCATACAAAGCTGGGCCCATGCCCTCCGCGGTGCTTCTGGGGGTTACAGTGTGTGCTCTCTGGCTGCCCGCTTGGCTGAAGCTTCCTTGAACCGCTTGGCGACCCAACAGCCACGTCTCAAATTCAAGGTTTCGATGAGACCCAACAAGTTAATTCCTAAAATTCTCAACAAGATGAGACCCTGACTTTGAGACGCATGCAAATGTCCTTGCGCAAGATCCAATAGCCGGTGCTTGGTGTCCTGCGTTGCTGAGGGCAGGGCGGTATCCTCCTGGACTCTGTCGGGGTTGCAGCCGCGAACGGGCAAAGCTTACAGTTACAGCTCAACCCTTGTGGGTCCTCCAATTGCTGCTGCTGCTACTGCTACTGCTACTGCTACTGCTACTGCTACTGCTACTGTACTGCTGCTGCTGCTGCTCCTACTACTACTACTACTACTAGTAGCCCCCCCTACCAACTATGTT